AAGGTGTTCGTAGATCATGAGCAGCAGTTCATTGCGGTTGAATCCGTACTAGATAAGAATTAGTAACCCATTGTATCTAGTTACCGTCGGCTCCGGAGGCCCTCGAAAGTGACATGAAGGTGCGCCAGTGAACCATCGACTGCTCCGCGCCTCTGCCGGACTTCAAAGCGAATCCCGCCTCTGTGGTGATCGTCCGCAAACACGTGTCAAGATTTCCTAATAAAATACATTTACTTTTCTGAAAAAACTCACAAAAAGTGTCAGTTAAATCTCGCTCCGGATTGTCCATAGATTAGTGGAATCATGTAGAGCAAGCGATTAAGATTCGTGTGCAGCTAAAATACCAAAAATAAATTATGCTGTAGAGACCCCCAAAACCCACCCGACACCGACGTGACGGCCGGCACCAGGCCGAGCTCGAGAGCATTCTCGGAAGTTGGGGCCTTTCTTGAACGACGATGGGTCTGAAACCGGGTACGCGGGTGGCTACAACAATTACGTTCTCTCGTTCTGTTGACAAAGTGCATGCATCATGCCATCTGTAATCACCGGCCTCCCGTCAGTTCTCTGTACCGGGTTGTCCAGTGGACGACCCTAAAAACATATTGGATCCACGCTAGGTAAGGAAAGGAGTTACCCCGAAAAGCAAGCGATGATCCTCGACGGCGCCGCCCATTTGTGCAGCGGCCCTCGCGAGCAAGTCACCCACCGTCGCGCCTTCGGCGACATCGAACCTCAACTTCGCGATTGTCCAACGCTTTCACGCGGACTTTCATCTAAAAGAGTTGTTGAATGTTGAATGCTGATACACACACCACGATAGAAAAAGTCAGGAAATCGGGAGTCATACAGAAATCCATAAAAGAGCTCATGAAACTGGTACTAAGACCAATTAACGTTTGCAGTATGAAGTAGGAAACGACAATAATTGGGACATACAAAAATCTACAGTCGTTGGGCTAGAAACAGTAAGTTTAAACAGCGACTGATTTACCTCTAAGAAAAATAATTATGTAGCTTATTCCCCAACTACGGTATCACCTGGCGCGTTTAGCGCTACAATCTCAACGAGTATCCGCGCAAAAGAAACATGCTGTGCTAGACGGCCAAAACTATATAGCCGACCGATCCCCGAATCGCTCCCGAATTTCCACTAAATGTCCTTTCGATACAATCCGACTTATATAATTTTAATCACTGCAACATAAAATCATGGGTAGAGACATTGAAAAGACGGCACGGACAAATGATGGACACAGTAACAGAACGGAACGGTATCCAGGAAGGGCACCAGACCATCGCTGGCCCTTCTTATCAATCAAAGCCTGGTCAGTGGTAGCGGTCATTCCCCTTCTGCATCACTTCCCGGACCGCGATCATCTTCTTTCAGAAGCCATGACAGCCCGCTTGTTTCGTACTGTTGGGAAGAAAATCGTCTGCGTCGGCCGCAACTACAAGGACCATGCGCTCGAGCTGGGAAATGCTATCCCCAAAAAACCAATGCTCTTCATGAAGGTTAGTCATTTGAGCGTCTTCAATGTTGCACCTACAGGCCACCAGCACCTATGTTGATGACGGCGGCTACGTCGTCACCCCCACCGGATGTACAAACTTGAATCAAGAAGTCGGAAACTGCATAAGCCTTCCTACACTTTTCCTTTCAGGTCGAGCTGGGCGTTGTAATTGGGAAGCAAGCCAAAAACGTTGATAAAGCTAATGCCATGGAATATGTCGGAGGTTATGCTGTTGCCCCTCGATATGACCGCACGGGATTTCAAGTACGAGAACGAAGCCCCGTCAATGCCTTTCTAGGACGAAGCTAAAAATCTGGTTCGCCATGGTTCTTGGCAAAGTCTTTCGATACTTCCTGCCCGATCAGCGAATTCATCGAGAAAAGCGAAGTGAGAATGTCCCGAAGTTTGTAACAATTTCCAGATTCCCGACCCGCATGACATCGAGCTTTTCTGCAAAGTTAACGGGGAGACGAAGCAACAATGCCAAACATCAGTAATGATTTTCGACATCCCAACGCTGATCGAATACACCTCGAAATACGTGACTTTGGAAGCCGGGGACCTGTTGCTTACCGGAACCCCCGCCGGTGTCTGTTCCGTCAAGCCGGGTGATACGATCGAATTTGGAATTACTGGAAAGGTAACAGAGATTTATAACGTTCTAATTAGGTTCAGGCGAACGCCAAGGTCGCCGTCAAATAGATGCCAATTGTGACTCTCATAGACTGGAATGTGCGAATAACAGTATAAAAATTTCATCCGGAATGGCGAAAACATACGCTTATCAAGACATCACACTGAATGAAAAACCGATCACTCGTTAGATTATTCATCTTCGCTTATTGTACTTTACACGTCGGGTGTCCGGCTTGAATCCACGTCCTTTGGCCAGCTCCTCCTCCGCAATGTCCGAATCTTCCTAAAAAAGGATCCATTAATACACACACGAACCAAGCATAACTTAGCGGTGCTTCCAGGTTAACGGGGGGGATATTTTAGCGGCGGGCGGTTGCCAACTTTTCTTTGTTTAGTCTATACCTGTCTAGTGATAAATTGTAGTTTATTTTAATAGAGTTTTTAGTAGTTTCCGATAATAAAAAAGTATAAAAACATTTATTCTACAGTCACAAAATCTAGGGGCTTAGCTCGTTTTAACCATTTTCATAGACGTTAGACCGAAAAAGCAGAAATTCTCACAGGTTTTATGATGTTTTTTTCTAAAATACTCCTTCTCCGCTAAGAGACCAAAACCACTTGCAACGGCTTACGAGTCTTGAAAAACGTTTAACTTTTAATTAGTCGACCTGCAAGACATTCTAGAAAAAAAGTTCGCAACCGCCCCCCGATAACCTGAAAGCACCCGAATTAGCTTATGTTTAGAGAACGAGATTATCTATTGCTTTGCTTGCCAGCCTAATACTCAGAAAAACATGCCTCAGATTCCTCCGACTCTTCCTCATCATCATCATCGTCGGATTCTTCTTCTGATTCAGAACCGCTCGACGGGAGATCAGCCTTGTCGTTTTTCACGTCCTCATCACCAGACAGATTTCCGACATCGGTGAACTCCACTTCACCTTCTTCTTGCTCGTCGCCTTCATTTAATTTGGCGTTGTCCGGAAGTTCACCGCACGCTTTTAGCTGCCGTGCCTCGTCAGGGTTGTATTTCAAGATGACATCGGACTTTCCGTCTTGAAAATCTCGCAATCCGAGCAAGATAATGTCACCCGTGTTGATCCACACCTTCTTTCGCAGCTTTCCTCGGATATGACAAAGGCGCTGTTTCCCGTCAAAACAAAATGACAAGAGACGACCATTTCCAAGCATCTTGATGACTTGCGCGTATTCTTGACCAGGCTCCTTACGCTGAAGCTCACGTTTCATCACATCGTTTTCATTCTTTCCGCGACGACGGTTCTTTCCTCCCTTTCCCTTATTCTTTGGCATTGCTCCTGAAAATTGAACGTTGCTTTCTGCGGCAAAAATGTAAACCTAGAGGAGAGGAATGGGCGAATCAAATGTTTGTTCAAAATGTAGAACTAGGAGCTCCTGAGAAGAAACGACAACGCAAGATTGTTTTCCAGCGGCTAATATATCGTGATGCAATCGATGGGTCGAAAAGGCGCGAAAACCAAGCGTCCACTGGTGTACTACAGCGGAATGAAAGGACCTGGCGGGCGCTAAAAGCGAATCACTCCGGGCAAGAAAAACCCCCAATAGGCCGTATAACATTGTCGTAATGCCATCAGATACGAGTGCTGTAAGCCGGTATTGTGTCGAGACATTTCATAGAGATCAACAAACACTTTATCAACGAAAAACAAATTAACAAAAAGACAATCACTCGGATGGGATCTCGATATCTCCGCTGTTGATCTGGTCGATGACGTCATGTGGGTGTTGACCATCGATGGTGCATCCGACGGATTGAGCGGTTCCTAAAAGAATAAGGTAAGGAAGACAGGCTAAATTCGTACCCAAGATTTCCTTCACGGTTCCTTCAAGCTTCTTGGCCATGGATCGGGGGCGCATGATGCGAGCGATCTTGATGATCGTGTCGATCGTCAGATCACCGGAGTGCTTGACTAAAAAACGAGAATAGGAATCTCCAATCAAGGGATAGTAGCAGAAAAAAAATGTTACTACAGCGCGGACATCGAACGAAACTTATTGGCTTGCGTACTCCGGTTCTAGGTTCCGAAGGCACAAAACAATAAGCGACCTTCGCAATCAGAACTGGCTTAACAAAATCGTCAAAAATCCTCCTTACCAGCGATTCATAAGTTACCAGTCAAGAATTACAAAAGACTGGGGGATGGGAGCCAATCGTAGCAACCCGACCCTCATCATACACCAAACTCGTACCATTCTTGACCTTCTTGCGATCACGAGCTGGCTCTTTAAGCTCCTTGATGATCAGTGACGCGGCCGATGGAACGACGTCGATCTTGGCTTGCCTGTTCTGGATGGTGAGCTTGCAAGTGACCTTCAGGCCCTTCCAGTCTTGTGTGGCCTTGGCGATATCGTCTCCGACCTTTTTCGGGGACTAAAGAAAAAAGGCTTTTGCAAGTAATGAAATAACTAACCAGACCGAGAGGTCCGACCTTCGGGGCGAGGGCTGAGGTGGCACCAACTTCGCCTCCAACGCAACGGAGGTAGACTAAAGAAGAGCTTATTAGGTGTAAAACTACCAAATTCTAACCGATCTTGATCTCATTGGGGTCGAACTTGGGCGGCATGACGGAAACTGACTACCAACCAGGGAAGGCGGATGACAGGAAAATGAGACTGGCCGCCTCTATTTTCGTTCCTGGGGGGCTGCGCTGCGGGACCTTTTACTACGGTGTAATGGGCGGGAAATTCGAAAGGCAAGCGACAAACTACAAATTCCCTTAGACAAAGCAGCGCGTCAAACGACGGCTAACAAGAAGATACAATAAATGTTCTAAATGTTTTACTTATCGTAGATGTTCTAGATAAAGTAATTATCCCGATTTAGATCTTCGTCTTGCCAGCCGCCCCGGACATAACGACAGTTTTCTACAGGCGAAACTTTGGAAATGGATTCTAATGGCCAGGTATGTTCTTCCGCTAGCAAATAATTGGTTCTCAGAATTACCCAATCCTGCAAGATGGAGATATGTATATGGAAGAAGTGTCCGTTTCAAGTCAGCCACTGAATTACGACAACCCGACGAAGTACGCATATGGAAGATTAGCTTTGCCTGTCTCTTCCAAAAGCTACCCAGATGGAGATTATCAACTAGGTTATCAGGTACGTGCAACCTATGGTGTTTAAGATTCCGTTAAGACCCCGTCCGGGTCTGCTGGTGCCAATCCTGGATATGGTGAAGTCCATCGCGCCGCCTATGCTCAAAGTCTGACTGTCCCGCGTCGCCAATCAAAAAAGTAAATTCCCTTTTGTGGTAACACCGATTCTGTAGGAAAGCAGGAAATGGGATGAGGAAACCGTGCAATTGTTCGAAGTCGATGTGCCTAAAGCTCTACTGCGAGTGCTTTGCGAACGGCGAATTTTGCCGCGATTGCAACTGCAAGGACTGTCACAACAATATCAACTATGAAGCTGAACGTTCTCGTGCGATCAAACAGTCGTTGGAAAAGAATCCACACGCGTTTCAACCCAAAATCGGTAGGGCCATTCGCCACAAATTAGCCTTTTTTTAAGCCGTGAGAGGGAAGTCTGACGCCGAGCGGTTACATCAGAAAGGATGTCACTGCAAGAAATCCGGCTGTCTAAAAAACTATTGCGAATGCTATGAGGTACAGTCACAGACAATTTTGTTCATTCGAATTTAGGCGAAAGTACCTTGTACTGATCGGTGCAAATGTGTGTGCTGTCGAAATACAGAGACTGACAGAATGGCAAAAACGCATCTGGTATGTTTCCTTTCACTTCATATATTTTTCTATAGCAAACGCCGAGAGAATCTGGCAGAGCAAATTCCTCGTTGCTGACGTCAGGGCCTGCATTAGGGCTTGATCAACCCGCACAGCCCTCGGACGATGACTCTGATACAGGTATGTACCGACCGCTCTTTTTGAATTCTCGTATTTAGAAGAGAAAAAAGACCCAAAGACGAGGCCGTGGTTCTATTTGCGGGATGAAGTTATTGAAGCCACGAGCACCTGTCTAATTGCGCAATCTGATGAGCTGGTTAGTATTGAGGTTTTGCCACTATCCCTGTTTAGGAGAACCTCGTTGAAACGGAGGAAGAGCTGGAGTTGGGGATTCTTCACGAATTTTCGTCGGCCATCAGGAAGATTATCGACCACTCCATTGTCGCTGGCTCTATGGATCAAAATATGTACGCCTAAGTGCTTGAATGTTGTTTTATGTTGATGATGATGATGATTATGATGGCTTCGATAAAGTTTTTTTGCTCTTCGTTTGGCCCACTTTGGAGTTTGGAGCATGGTTATATTGAACAACTGTATAAAATAGTGTCGTGAACAAATGGTTCTTAGTAATGGCAATGCTGAATTGCGATGAAAAAGAGACATACTTCATGGATGAGGCATTCCGCTTGGCAGAAGAAGCTTTGGTCAACGATGAAGTGCCTGTCGGCTGCGTATTCGTAATCAATGGACAGGAAGTTAGTAGATGGCATTTTGACGTCACGATTAGGTTGCAAGGGGGCGAAATGAAGTCAATCTTACCGGCGATCCGACCGCTCATGCAGAAATGGTGGCAATACGGAGGTTACGAAATAGGCCCGACTTCAAAGCTGTAAATTAACTTACGAAGACCATGGTGTACTTTAGCTTAGATGGCGGAAGAAATGGAACTCTTTGTTACGTTGGAGCCCTGTATTATGTGTGCGGCGGCTATGTACGAATTGAAAATAAAGGTTTGGCTTATTCAGTTGCAAACCTTGATTTCTAGAGGATTGTATACGGGGCGGCTAATCAGCGATTCGGTGGCGTCGACAGCGTGGGCGGGAGGCGGAAGTACCAGAGTCAGCATGAGATCGAGGTGGTGACTTACCGTTACTTTCTAAATTTTTTTAGATTAAACCTCTGGTTGCACCCGAACGCTCGATTGAGCTCTTGAAGAAATTTTACGATTTGGAAAATCCCAACGCGCCGATTGAGAAACGAAAGATTAAAAAGACAACAGTCGAAAGCAAATAAAGTCTCGAAAAATTTGATCCCAATCCTGACGAACGTTTTAGCGGATTACCTCTAAAATTGTATATACGGCCACATTTTTTTAGGATGTCAAAGGAGACGGCGGTCTCCGGAATTAAGGTGAATCCTTCCATTGTCCTAACAAATCAGTATTAGCTCGTATTGCGAGGCCTCCCATATAAAATTGATGAAGCAGCATTGAAGGAACAACTTGGCGAATATTCGGAAGAACCGCTTTACAGCTATTTTAGGTATGCATTTCTCTTGAAGGAAACAACATATTTTAGTACGCCGAACCCATTTCTTGATTATCGTACACGACCTTTCTTTGTCGTCGCGTTTGCGAAGGAGGAGGACGCACTGAGTTTTGCGGATCGATTCAACGGGTATTGTTTATTTCCTGGTTTGTATTATGGTTTAGGTTTGTTTTCGTCGACTTTGAAGGGAGCTCGGCAAGTGCGGTCGTGGAATTATCGTCGAATAATGTTATTCCGAAGAGCTCGGTCGGAGACGTATGTTTTTTATTGGCTTCCGCGATTGGCTTTTAGGTAGCAAAAGACCCAGAGCTAGGCAAAGTCATTGACTCCAAAGAATATAAAATTTTTGTGGCGAAGCTAGAGGAAATATCGCCTCAATTGACGGTATATGCACTTTAACTTTATTTCGATCGTTGTAGGTTGATCAACAATTGAAACTTATTGAAGAGCGGAATGCAAGGCGGACTACGAATGAGATGACACCCCTGACCAAATATATGCTGGATCAGCACTTACAAAAGTTCAAAAAGGAAGAGCTCCGGAGGAAACGAGTAGCGGCTGACCGTAAAGCTCGTCGGGAGAATGTGACAATTGTGGGAATTGCGCACATGAATCGTTACAATTTCATTCAATTCAGGATTTTGACGCTACCCCGGAAGACAAGGCGCCTACAGGCAAAGCCAAGGGAAAAGAACTGCTCGAGTTTGTCAAGAGCGGACCTAAAGCATCTGCTCCCAAGCCTGTAAAGGACAAGTTTAAACCTAAGGTCCCGAAGGAAGCGCCGAAACCAAAACAGACGACCACCGAGGTGATCACTTATCACGTTGGTAACGCTCGGTTTTAGAAACCCCGCGCTGAGAAGCCACCCTATAAGACTCCTAACACTTCTAAGCCTTCCACCAGTGCCAAGCCAACGACGGGTCATCCTGATCGCGTGCCGGAGCCGAAATCAAAACCTGAGGAGGCGGAAAAGGAAGTACAGCGCCCGCGGGTGCCTGAAAGGTTTGTTTTTCGTTTTCATTTTTACTATTGGATAGTGCTATGAGTGACCCTCAATCCTGAGCTAATTTTAGGGAAGCACCTGTCAAGGCACCGGTAGAAAAGAAGCCCGAGAGAAAACCACGAGTGGAGCGCGAAATCTACCGACCGGGCCGACTGCGCAAAGCCAAAGAAGAAGCTGAACAGGGCTCCAGCAAACTTACAGAGCCATAGAAGGCACTGATTTCATCGATTGCTGTTGTCAGCATATACGGAAACCATCGAAAATCCGGTTACGCTCGTTGGTTGCTCCATGATGATTTGACTAAGCTGGTCTCTTGTGACTGTGATATCTCTGCTTTGTTGATCGCTAGGAAGTTGTTTCATAAAGTTTCTTGAAATATGCTGACGTTTTTTTGTTCGGTTCGCGCCGAGTAAGTATCGTAAACTATCCTATGTAGGTACGTGTAGTCACTTTTGGGTTTAGATGTTGTCTCGGCTATGCTCTGGATTCAGCAATCCTTCAACATCAAAAATATTGACGCTTACAAAGTTACGACCGCAAGCCAAGCATCATAAGGAGCAGTTCCGATTAATACACAAGGTACTGGATTCTCACTATTTATATAAAGCACGATTCAGAGAGAAGATCCTTCAAAAGGATCACGAGATGTGCTTTACTATGGAATGTCCCTGGGAGGTATCAGATTCAGGTTTTCTTTAGGTAGGTATTGCCGTTTTAGTGATTGCTATCGGTGCTACTTTTGCCGCCATTCCACTATATCGGATGTTTTGTGAACAAACTGGCTTTGCAGGGTTAACGCAGGCGGGTCTTTTTATGTTTGATTGACAGTGTTTTTAGATAGCGAAGGATTTTGAGAAAATCGCCACGATGCAGAAAGTGGAAGATCGATTGATTCGCGTTCAATTCAACTCTGACGTCCCGAGCAGCATGCGTTGGGAATTCAGGCCGGTCCAAGACGAGGTGAGAACGGAATTATGGCAATAAAATGGTTTAGATCTACGTGCATCCTGGGGAAACAGCACTGGCCTTCTTTTCTGCTCGCAACCCGACCGACAAGCCAATTATCGGAATTTCTAGCTATAATTTGGTTCCTTTTCAGGTATTTTTAGACTTTGATTATAAGATCCTTTAGGCCGCTTATTACTTCAACAAAATCCAGTGTTTCTGCTTTGAGGAACAGATTTTGAACCCCGGGGAACAGGTCCGCTAACGAATTTGCGCGGTTAATCGATTTTAGGTTGATCTGCCTGTTTTCTTCTACATTGATCCGGACTACGCAAATGATCCGAATCTCGAATACCTGGACAACATTATGCTGTCCTATACCTTC